AGAAATGATCAACTCACTAATGACGTGGTATCAGTTGATTGGGTAGCATATCAAGGCTCGCCGAGTGGCGCTGTGACTGGGAAGGAAAGGATAGCACAGTGGTGGACTGGTACCAAATGTACGACTCTTATGTTTCCAGTTGTAAGTACGCCATTGTGCGCATGCTCATTATGAATGCTGTTGTTTGATAAATTGTTAGAGCTGGAACGACTGAAGTCGCGCTTTGTTTTAAAAGAAGATGAACAGCCTTAATATCTTCTGTCTTTGTTAACAACGATTAAAATTTGATTTGGTTTATCAAGGGTAAATTCAAGGGAATCCCTACAGTACTCGTCACTCTTGAGCACCAAAGAAATGGACTTAAGCACGATGCTGCCAGCATTTGGCTTGAAGATGTCAGTCCATTTTTGTTTCAAGTKTGTATCAGAGAGCTTCAAAACTTTGATGGAATACACGAAGACATTGATGTGGTGAGAAGATTATCACGACTCTTTTAACCTTAATTTCTTTGTAGAATTTATGCACATTAACATTTGTTTGATTGTAGGATTGGATGGCCTTCGAAACACTTCATCTTCCACTATTCTCTGAACATGGCATAGTGAATTTTTCAAATGCCTACACTCCTTTAAAATCCAATAACTACGCTTTTTGTAAGGTAAATTACTGTTTTTACGCGACTGTCTTGTTATTGTCCTGGAAAATTACAATGCACTTATTTAAACGATAGAGTATATAGTTGAGAGGTATTACGCTGTGATAGTTGCCAGCGGAAACTACAAGTAAATGTCCCGAAAAGCAAATACTTGCCCTAGAACTCATTTCGAGGGCGGTAACTATGAAGTTCTGAGGATCCAGTTTCCTACGGCAAATATCAGGACATAATACCCAAAATTTAAACTGCTCTATTGTTTTCTGAAGTAGAATTCATAAAATACATGTTTCAGAATGTGAAAATGGCACAAAACTACACAAGAAGACCTTCAGTGCTGATAACACCTACTCACGATACAAGTGTTGGCCAAACTGACCCCAAATGCAATGGAATTTCTGCATGGATCGAGGTATGTTCATAACTGAACCTTAAAGACCTATTCTTCTAAACCGTT